TGCTTTCAGCGTGAGCCTGCGCTGCGGGCCAGGCTCTGCAGGCAGCCGGGGAAGTGCACACGCAGGAGCTTCTCCTCCTAGCAGGACTATCAGACTACCCTTAATAGAGTCGTATTTAATATTTAACAATGTTATGACTAGCAGGACAATTTTCTTAATTTTTTTTTTTTGTCTCAGTAGAATTATTATAGGATCTCTGATGTGTTTGGTGTCCGATAGCAGTGTTCATAAAGATGCCAAACACTTTCTGAACAAGCCCCAGTTGCCGGCAAGCAGAGCTGTAGCTCTCCAAGTGTTTCTAAACTCTCCTAAGAAATCTGTTCCTGCCGTCAGGCTGCAGAGAATTGTTCAGGAGTCAAAGGAGACTTCAGTCGCTCAGGCACCAGGGCTTTGAGGATGGCACGCTATTTACTTTCCATCCCACTGACACAGTCTGTGTCTGACTTTTCAGTCCGAGGTGCCTCATTTTAAAAATTGCTGGTATCAATGATTACATTTATATCCCAGTAACCCCACTGTGTCGTACAAACACGGTGAGAGAGAGACTTTTCAGAGAAGAGGCTGCAGCTTGCAGACCCCGGTGCCTCCTGTTCAATCCACTTAATTCCATTTGTCAACATGAGTCGCAGTAGGCCCTACACCAATGCTTCCATGCTCTCTAAATGTTTCTCTATCCATTATTCACGAGAACAAATCCCTCATTCTTTGCACACTGCTGCCCGTGTGTTGTGCTGTTGCATCCTCCTGCAGAGGTGGGTGGCAGAGGAGTGATGCTTTCCAAGCTGGGATCAACCGCAGCGGCTGCTCCCGCTCCCCCAAGCATTCCCAGTGCTGCCCGTGCCGTGGAGGAGCAGCCGGAGAGCCGAGGCGCTGCTGCCCTGGCGCCTGTGCAAATGCACCCGCAGCATGGCTCCTACCTACAGCGCTGGATGTTGCCAGCTGCTAATTAGGCAGGATTTGTGCAAGACTCGGCTTCCAGCTTGGGTGCCTGGGCTCAGGCCTGGTGAATGGGCACGCTGCCCGCAGCATCTCTGCCTGCGTAAGCCGCTTTGCCCGTGGTTCGGCCAGGTTTGCTGGAGCTGACCTGGATGCCTTCCCCTTGGGGCAATGTGGGCACCCAAATTTCAGGGCTGTGGGAACATCCATGGAGCCACCGCTGCTCCCAGCCTGGGTGGGTCACTGCTGCAGGTGCCAACCCTGTGCCCCAGACCCCCAGCTCATCCCACTCAGCCTCACTGGGGCGATGTCAGGGTCCCCCCGTGGCTCTCGGCCCCCCTCACCCCTCCGCTCTCCCTCCTCGTTTTTCAGAACATGCCAAACGTTCGCGATCACGACGCCTCGGTGTATCTCCGTCTCCAAGGCGATGCCCTTTCCGTGGGTGGATATGAGTCAAACCCCATCTTCTGGGAGCAGGTGAGTGTTGCCAGGAGGTTTTCCAGGGGAACGAGGCAGATTTCCAGGGAACCCCCTTGGAGGGGTGGGCGCAGGCGTGAGTGCCTAAGCCCCCGGCTCCTGCGGGTACCAACCTCCCTGCGGCCGGTGGGGAAAGCACAGGACAGCATCTTCCCTTTGGGTCTGTCTGTGGCGTAGATATGAGGTGCAGAGACAACAGGAATGAGCTGCAAAGGCTGGGCTGGGGGGATTTAGAGGCCACCATGCGGTGCCTGCCCTGCTGCATTATCCCTTTATCCCGGTACAGGTGTCTTAATTCGGGCTCTGCCCCAGACTTTTGGCTTGGCTGGGCTGTTCATGAAGACTCAAAGAAACCAGAGTCTGCAAAGCAGCCTCGATTTTCTGTGGTCTCCGAGGCTGCCAGAGCTGAGAAGTTCTTACGCCCTCAGCTGTACTCTGTTTTGTGTCCCAATTCCTGTTTCCCACCTTCAGGTATCTGAAAAATTTGCTTTTGGCCTCTTTGATCTGGACTGGGATGTTTTCATGCAACACATCGAAGGTGCCATCAACAGAGTACCGGTGCTGGAGAAAACGGGCATTAAATCCACCGTCTGCGGGCCAGGTAATGCGGCAGCGCTGGCATCGGGGTGGCTGCGTTCCTCCAAGGATCTTGCTGAAGACAAGGGGAAACTTCATAACCTGGGAAGAGAAATTCTCTGAAGGCAGAGAAAGCGCCTGTGGTCTGGCTGCAGTGGTGTCATCTTCCGAGGGGTGGCATCCCAGGCTTAGCCTAGGTGGAGAAACACCCGGGGAGCTCATTGCCTTGGTCCAGGCTGGGGGGTGGCTAGCGCAGATTTACAGCTGATGTTGTGGCCACCGGACTGGGGAATGAAGGGGCAGATTTTTTTCAAGCTGTGGCCATTTTTTTACCAAGTGTTATCTTATATTATTATTTTTACTACTTTCTTCTGGGCTGATGACATTAGATTTACCCAGATTTACATCCCAGGCTGTCTGGTGTGGAGTTAGAGGCCGTAGCATTGCCTGCAGTGGCAGTGAGATGATGCCAGCGCTCGAACCCGAGCCCTGCGCGCTTGGTTTGGCCTGTGAAATCCACCACATGCTCAAAAAAAAAATTTTTTAAAAAAATCCCTTTTTGCTGAAGCACTTAAAGGGAAACCCTCGAGGCCCTCGGGGAGGGAGCGGTGCTGCTGTACAAGGGGAAAGTAGGGCACATCTCCTGCCCCACGGCAGATAAAACATGGCATGTGCAAGGCGGGGGCCTTGGCCCTGGGTACAGCAGGTTTGATAAAACCGCAGTGTAAGCAGAGCTGCTGGCCTCCGGTGGGGAGCTGACATCTTATAGATAAATGTCTAGTATTTGTAGTACAGTAATGTAATTTCCAAAGGGTCAGCGCTCCTCCTTTTCTACTTCTTGATTTAAACCAGCAGCTGGGTTGCTTGTGACAGCTGAGTCACGCTGGGCTGAAGCAAATAGCAAACACTTGTCCTTTCTGCTGCACGGTAAATATTTCACCACCAGAACAGCTACTGTGCAGGGGATGAAAGCAGACTGAACTGGGGTGGTTTAAGCTGTTTCTGCTCCGGCTGCTGATCCAACCCTGCAGCCAAGCGGGCCAAGGTCCCATGTGAGCGCTCAGCATCCGTCCCAGTGCAAAGGCAGCAGGGCTGGCGTGCAGCACTGGTGAAGGCGAGGTACTTTGGGGGTTGCACCGTTAACTCAGTGAATTTGTAGCCTGGCATATCGCTATGGGGTTATTGGCATGAAATAATCTTCTGACTCTCCTCTTCCCTTCTCCTGAGCACAGAGGTCTTGGGGAAACAAGCTGGGCATTGCTGGGCAGGGAAAGGACCAGACTGAACCCTGTCTTCTCTCTTTCCTTTCACATGGATGGATGAACCACCATAAAACAGGGAGGAGGATTGCACACCTCTGTCAGGGTGTCTTGCTCCGTCTTCCCTCGTGGGGATTTGCACAGGGGCCGTGGTTGACAGTGCTGTGGGGAGCAGGAGCTGGCAGCATGAGACATCATTAGCAGAGGAGCCTTGGGCAACATCAGCAGCAATCCCTCAGTGGAATAAAGTAGCTTAAATTCATGAAATTTCCTAGCAGAAATCGATGAAGGTGAAAAATAGTCATAAAAATGAAATATTGCCCAGATGTTGAAAAGGCAATGAATGGGTCCATGCAGCTCCCTTAACTGGGGGAGTGGGAGAAAGAAAGAGGCTGCACCAGCCGCCGCAGTGCCTCGTGCGCCTTCTGACTGGGGATTTGTTCTGCTTCACAAATTTTCAATCTAAACCTTAGCACCGAGGTCCTCCCCCTGCAGTGCTGGCATGCAGCGAGCGCTGCCGACTCCCCGGGGGCACGGAGGGCAGAGTTAATCCAAGCCTGGGGTCTCAGCGGTGCAGGGACGGGCTGTGCAACGTGCAGGGCTGCAAAGGAGCTGCCTTGTGCCACCAGCGCCTGCCTCTGCCACTGGCAGTGCGATGTGCATATATATATATATGTGTGTGTGCCTGCATATGTGTATACTCATGCAAGCTTCTGAAGCAAGTATATGTGTATATATGTGTATGTATATTTGCTTCAGGAGCCTGCACAAGACCCCTGTGTGATGCTGGGCATCCCGGTACCAGGGAAGCCTTGCCTGTGGCCTCTGCTGCCTGGGGGCTGTTGGAGAGGCGCGGGTGGGGGATGCTCGAGCTGAGGTGCTGGGAAGTGCTCGGTGTTGGTCCTACTCTGGCTCTCTGGGAGCAGGACAAGGCCAGCATGGGAAGCTGTAGGAACCCTGCTCCTAAAGTGCATGATGCGTCCCCAAAACGCCTGCCCTGGCCTTGCTGGCACACGTCCCTCTCTGTCTTGCAGAGTCGTTCACGGCCGACCACAAGCCACTCATGGGGGAAGCCCCAGAAGTCCGAGGCTTCTTCCTGGGCTGTGGCTTCAACAGCGCCGGTAAGAGAGAGCGGAAGGGATCACACCTCGGGCATCCACAGCCGTGCTTGGCCTCCTGGCCTCATCTGGGTCCTTGCCTCTTCCCCCAGGGATGATGCTGGGAGGTGGCTGCGGAAGGGAGCTGGCTCACTGGATCATCCATGGGCGGCCAGAGAAGGACATGTACGGCTACGACATCAGGCAAGTCACCCCGGCTGTCCCAGGTCCCCGCGGGCTGCAGGCTCCTTTGCTGATACCCTTCATCCATGGGTAGTCCTTGGGGACGGGTTTCAAGGCAGGGCTGGCATCGGGGGCGGGTGTCGGGCAGCGTCTGTGCCGCAGCCTGTGTCCCTCCAAGGAGCTGGAATCAATTGTGCTCGACGGCTTTCATGAGTTTACACGTGGAGTTTCTCTCATTTGCCTCATTCCGCTTCTACGCAAACAGCTTCCATCAGACAGGAGGAGATGGCAGTGATGGGAAAGGACAGGGTAATTACGTTTGCGTTTTGTTGTTGTTCAATTAGTGCTGTGCCTAATCCTCTAAGTTAATAATCAGGGTGATGATTTCAACAGGAGAAAGATTAGCTTCTCCCCCCTGCAGCACGACATGGGCCGGGAGTTTTGACTGTGCAGATGTTGGCTCTGTAATTGCTTTTGACTTGCTTGATTATACTTGATTGGGTTTGGGCTTTCTTATAGGGCTGCTAGCGACAAGCAACCACCCTGTCAGGGACAAAGCTTTTAAAATCATGTTGCTTTAGTGGCAAAGCTGCTAAACACCCCATTGACTTGGGCTGGGAGGAGAGGGGAGTCGGTGCTGGTGCCTGCAGAGGTCAGCGGGCAATGCCTCCAGCAGCCTTCCTCCACCAGCCCCACAGATGGGCCAAGCCAAGGAAGGAGAAATCCCCGGGCTGGGCAGGGACCGCTGCACCGTCAGACGGGCGGGTTGGTATAACCGCAGCCATCCTGGGGCTCACCCGCGCTGGGGGACCCCAGCCCCACTCAGGCAGTGGTCGGGGGCTTTCCAGCCCTTGCATCTGGATTACCCGAGCATCCCCCGTATCCCGTCTGCCCCGTGATCAAGCTGGTGTCGGTCCCATTTTGTTTTCTTTTGGTGACGATTACTAAGCTCCTCTCTAAATAACTCCCTTTTCTGCACATTTAAATATTTATCCTCTCAAAACACTCACTTGTAAATATTTCATCTGGCAGCTGTTGCTCCTCTTGCCGCTGTCAAGAATTCAGCACGTCAGTGAAGGGGCTGGGGCGGACGGGGCAGCCAGGGTGCCGGTGACATGCCATGTGTCACCTGCTGCCTGTCCCATGCCGGCGGAAGAGGCAGCTGCCCTCACAGCGAGCCCATGGCTGCTTTTTGGGAGTATTGCTTCCTCGGCAAGGCCCCCGTGCCCTTCCTCTCCTCTGCACCCAGGCAGCAGCGAGAGAAGCTGAAAATATTGTTTTAAAAGGCCCTTTAGATGACGTTTTGCCTTACCTTTTGCCTGCTGCCTGTCTCCCATTCTCCAGACATGGGGGCTTTGGGCTGGAGAGGAGCCGGTGGTAATTCGGAGAGCCGCGCTCCCCTGCCCGCCGAAGCGGGAGGACGGGAAAGGTGCCACCAGCACCCAGGGCTGCTCTCCATGAGTTACAGGTCTCTGGTAATAATAACCTAAGCATGTGCTGAGCTGGCACATTCCTTTAAGGAGTTTTTCTGTTTGAAAGACAAAAATATGTCAAACAAATTTCAAATGCTTGGGGTTTTATTTATCTTTCAGCCTAGGGAGAATTGGATGAAAAATGTAAGGAATGTCCAGGGCTCTTTCCTTCATCAGGGCTGTGTTTAAACCCGGGCTGTGCACGACGGGTGCTCTGAGGCCGGCCCCACGCTGAAGAGGAGCAGAATTAACCTCAAGTTTCCTCTTTTTCTATTTTTTCCCCCCCAACAGGTCTGTATTCTGCTCCCAGTTGCTCTGGGGTAGATGTGCCTGGAGCAGGGCTGGGGAGCTTAGTGTGGGGGCTGCGGCGAGTGCCCAGCTCTGGTGGGCAGCGCTGCGGCATGGCCAGCACCAAGCCCCACTTGGTTCCTTTGCTTTCCGACCCATGAAAGGGGTGCAGGAATAGCAATTTTACACCACAGCAGCTGCATCCACATCTGGGTCTGGCCAAGAGGGTTGTGCCTGGGTGAGGAGGCACCCTGTGAGCCGGTGGGTTCATCCGGACGGCCGCCCTCTCCCTGCCTTCCAGGAGGTTTCACCACTCCCTTACTGACAACAACCGCTGGATCCGGGAGCGGAGCCACGAGTCCTATGCCAAGAACTACTCCGTTGTCTTCCCCCACGATGAGCCGCTGGCAGGGCGCAACGCAAGGAAGGACCCCCTCCACGAGGTGAGGACGTGCACCGCGACCTGGGCTGCCTTCCGAGGAGCGGTGGGAGACCCTCACAGCACCCTTGGAGCAAAAAAGAGGTGGCAAGGAGTGACCACAGTCATATTGCTCCCCAAAGGAGCGTGCTGCATCCTTACTCCCATCCATCCATCCTGAGAAGATCCCTGTCGAATCCTAAAGCTCACCGGGTGCACGCTGCGAGGGTGCTGGGGCCATGGACAGTTTAATGGTAGCAATGCCAAGCATTCCCCTAAGATTTAACTTAGCAGATATGGCTTAAGAGCCCGGTGATGGTCGCTGGGCAAGGGAAAAGTGGAGAGAAGGGCTCAGAGGCTCGTTTCATTCACTGTCAGCCCGGCCTGGGGGCAGTTGCGAGGGCTGTGGGGTGCTGGATACCCGCGGTGATCGGCCCCCTGCTCGCCATGCCTCGCTCGCAGCTCAGCAGCAGCTTTTCCTCCCCAAAACAGCATCTCGCAATGTGGAGCAAGGCTGGGGCACAGGGAGGGCTGCGGGAAGAGTGGGGAGCAGCTGTGCCTCTGTGGAGGTGGTTTTGCTGGCAGCCCCTAAGTCCCCACTGGTTTTGCTCCCTGTAGCTGCCAGCCAGGGCTCCTCCCTGCTCCCACCTTCGCCAGCTGCTTCCTTGCACAAATCTCCATAGGTGAGCGCTTTCAAGATGCAGCACTTGAGAAAAAAAACCAGTTTCCAGCAGTTTGCTGTACCAGCAGCATTGCAGCTGCTGCGACTGAGAGCCCCCCAAAACACCCGCCGCTCCCGAGATGCTCGGGGTGACCTGGAGCCGGTGCCTCCTCCCACCCCGTCACTGCCAGCCCCAGTCCCAGCCCCAGCAAGGAGCAGCCACATTTCTCGAGCCCATTTCTGCTCATCGCTAATTCATATCACACTATTCCTCTGATGGAGAGCAGAGGCTCAAGCAGTAAAACAGACATCCCTCCCCACCGTCCCCCGGTGTTTGGTTGACAGCTCTGTTGTTTTCTGTCACCGAGGATGCAATTTATTTTTTAATAACATGTCTAATAAGCGATGCCCATTTGACTGACAGCCTGGTATTTATACATGCAGCTCCAGAACATGTGCTGTGTTTTATAAATAGGCACTGAATCATTTCTGAAATGTTCAACAAAATCTATTCTTTTCTGAACAGAGGCACCAAACACAATATCTTAATGGATCTCTAATTAATTGCGTGCAGAGAGATTTTCCTGAGAGCACAGAGGAGGAATGAGGAGGTTGCCATGTAAATTGTAAATGTTATTATATAATTACTCTTGTAAACATCGGGGGGAATCTTGCTCTCTGGATTTAGCATCTCTCGGTCAGTAATTCATGCGCCGTAGCGCAAGCTTTGGTGGGGTGCGCAGCTGGGCTGCCGGACTCCCACCCGTCGGCTGCCGTTGAGGCAAATACCTTTCTTGGAGAGAGACAAAAATATCAGGCAATTTGCAGGCAGCTGGGTTTTGCCGCTGTTTTAAAAGACAAACTGCAGAACTGATTTTGGCTGCTGATAGCCAAAGCCAAGGGGTCACAAATTGGGTCTTGAGCGTGCACTGGAGGAGAGCAGCCTGGGCGCTGCTCAAAAAAGCAGTGAAAAGGCTTTTTTTTAACCATTTGTTCCCATTTCTTCGCTTGTGTAGGAGCTGCTGCGACAGGGCTGCGTTTTCCAGGAGCGGCATGGCTGGGAGAGGCCGGGCTGGTTCAGCCCCAGGGGAGCAGCCCCGGTAAGCATGGCACACGTTTCGGGGGGCAGCCAGCCCGGAGGGTACTCACCATGCCCGGCGCGTGCAGGACGTGTCCTGCGTCTGCAGGGTGTGCGATATGCTGCAAGCAGGTGCATGGCCCCAAAACAGGTCCATAAAAGCTGTTGGGCTTTGATTCACTATAACAGCGGTAAGAGGGAGATCCGTGTGTGCATGCTGTGCCTGTCTGTCTGCCTGTCCCTCTGCAACAGGCAGCATCTGCTTGCAACGCCCCCAAACGACAGGCACTGATCTCACTTCTGTACATTGAAGAGAGCAGCGGGCAGGGATGCCGGGGTGGGGACCCGTCACTGCAGGTGGGGATGCTGGGGTGGGGACTCATCACCACGAACAGGGATGCCAGGGTGGGGACCCATCACCACAGCCAGGTTCTGCATGGACCCACACCTCTCCTGGCATGGGGTGAATGTGATTGGGAGCAGCCCCTTGGCTTCGGCCTCACATTATCTTCCTCACTGCCCCCATCCTCCCGCTTCTCCCCCCAGGTTCTGGATTACGACTACTACGGCGCGTACGGCCAGGAGCGCCACAGGGACTACACCTACAACCAGCTACTGGGGGATGAGTACACCTTTGACTTCCCCCCCCACCATGACATTGTGAGTGGGGGAGGGAAGCCCCCTCCCTGGCCAAAACCGCTGGGCACATCTGGAGCCGGGAGGGTTAGAGGCAGCAGAGCCCAGTGCCGCGCAGCCACTTTGGGTGGAGTTGGTGAGGCTCGGAGGGAGAGGAAGCGGCGAGCTTTGCCCAAAACTGGGGAAAATGTTCCAAAAAGATTAAGAGAAATGTGTGGCCCGTGCTCAGAAACCTTGGCGGAGAGGCCACGGGAATTTTACTGCTGCTTTCCTAAATGAAAGAGTTGAGACTAGCTTAGGGGAAAAACCCAATTTGATAAAATATAACTATTATTATTGATAACTGTCACTGCGTTAGTGAAGTAAGGAATGGGATTGAGCACACAGGATTGCCTGTCAGGCTTGCTTCCTTTAACACCTGATTTTTCAGGAGTGTTTTGAATCTGTACAGCCTTTAAAGGCACTAGCCGTGTCCTGATATTGTTTCCCATTACATAAATGGTTTTAATGTGTGTCTCCCTTTGTGGAGCGAGAATATGGCTCCACTTCAGCGGTGTGTTTGCTTTAATTGTAGATCAAGAATGAATGCTTAACGTGCAGAAATGCCCTGGCTCTCTTCGACATGTCTTACTTTGGGAAATTCTACCTGGTTGGTCCTGAAGCAACAAAAGCGGCGAACTGGCTGTTTACTGCCGACGTGAGCAAAGCGCCAGGTACCGGCTCAGCCCCCTTATTTCGGCTGCGCGCTGCCTCTGCTGAGCGCTGCCCTGGAAGGATGCCCTGGGAAATCACATCTTACACCAAAACAAACCGGGGGGGACCCAAACTGGCTTTTCTTTTAAATGCTGCTCTTGCAGAGGGTATGGGAAGCGTGTGAGCAATTGCTTTCCCTGTCCTCACCGGAGGCTGGATTCTGCTCTCATTTACACAGGGACAAATGGGCTCTGAGCTGGGGGGTGAGGGAGGGGGGGTCTGGCCCTCTGGTTCCAGCTGTGGCTCACAGCTGGAGATGTGATGGGTAATGGAGCAAATCAAGCACAACCCTTGCCAGCCGTGGTTTGCACAGGGAGAAGTGTCCCCTTCTCCGGGGCTGGGAGACAGCTTATGGCATTTCCAAGGATGCAGCTTCTGCTCCTCACACAGATCTCAAGGGGAAAAGCAGTACTCCTCTCCCCCTCCTGGTGCTGGGACATCCAGGGTCGGTCAGGGCATACCCAGGCAGTGGCAGCTGATGTAATGATGAGGACAAATTTTCCTGGTACCCACCTCCCTCTGCTGGGGCCGTGGCTCCGTGCCGGGGCTGGCTGATGGGCAGCGGTGCCCGTCTCATTCCCTCAGGCTCGACCGTGTACACCTGCATGCTGAACAAGCGGGGCGGTGTGGAGAGCGACCTGACCGTCAGCCGGATCAGCCCTGGGGACCCGGCCTCCCCCCTGGCCCCTGCCTTCGAAGGTAAAAGCCCTGAGCACGGGGATGCTGGAGTCGGACGCGTTTCTGCAGCCACCGTGGGACTGGGGGAGGATCGCCAGCTGGGTTTACCCTCCTGCAGTTCAGCTCCCAGCCTCTCCTGCTGCCTTTTTCAGCTGCATCAATGCGCGCAAAGACCTTTCCAGTCCCGGGAAGCCGTGGTGGTGGCAGGTTTGGTCCAAGGCCCGCCAGCATGTCCTCCATCCCCGCCACACTCGGGGGGCTGCAGGCGCAGGGTTGATTGCATTTACCTAATGGCAGCCACCTGGCTTTTTCCACCTCCACCCCTCAGTCCCTGTAACCCAATTATCCCCCTTGTCCCCGGGGGCCTGCACTGCTCATCCGTGTTATTGGGTTTGTCCAGCCCCAGCTGGCGGCTCTGACCTCGCCCCAAGTCCTTATCAGCTGCAATAAAGAGGAATTGAAATGGAGCAGAGCAGTCAGCCCAGAGGGCAGAAATGGCATTAGGCAGCAGCAGCCAAGGAGCGTGCTGAGCTCGGCTCCGGTGGTGCTGCCACGCACCGTGCCCGGTGGCACCGGGCTCTGCCAGGGCTGCCACCAGAAGGGAGGTTTGCACTGGGATGCCCAGTGCCAGCGGAGCCCCGTCCCCAAGCAGTGTCACCCTCAGAGGTGCTGCTTGGAAGGGACCAGCCCTGCAGCGGGTGCAGCCCCCAGCGCCGGCCTGGGGCGGTGGGCGTTGCGGGGGTGATCCCACCCTTTGCCCCAGTGTAGTCGGGTGCCAGTCAGCTCTTCCGTGGGTGAATCCTGTATCCCTCTCGTCTGGGACAGAAGGGTGACAGGAAGCGGATGGCAGAGCTGCAGGGTTTGTCGGCCGATGGAGGAGTTTAATCGCAGCAAAGTCTATTTTTCCAATTACTGTAGGTGGCTGCACTTATTATCGTTATGACAGATTATCAGAGAGCAATTTTGTAGCGGCAGGAAAGACAGAGGGAAGATTGATTACATATTAATCAGCTCTCAAACCCCATCCCTGGGGATTTTTCTACCCAGGATTCCTGACGAGATGAAATTCCTCCTTGTATACAGTGCAACTCCTGCACTGGTTATGGCCCTGTCACTGCAGCCCTCCCTGCTCCCACCTGTAGTTCCCGGCTCCCTCTGAGCTTTGGCATCCGCTCTGTACTGGGACAAAAGAGCAGATGCTTTTGCTGTTGGTCTCAAGGGACAAAGAGTTTTTTTCTCTTCCTGTGATGCTCACGCAAGCACAGGCACCTCCAGGGCTCGAACAGCTTTTTTTTACCTTTTCTTCTTTCGGGTTTTAATGGTCATTGGTTTTCACTGTGCTGAGCCCCACGAAAGGCAGCGTGGATGTTAGCAGAGCCCTCCCTTGCCCCAGCACTATTTAACCCCCTCCTTTCTTGGCAGTCCCCCCAGGCTGTGCAAGCTGGAGAGGCTCAGGGCTGCAGCTCAGCCTCTGGAGAGCAAAACCAGCCCTGAGCTGAGCGGTTTTTTGAGCGGGCGACCGCCGCCAGCCCGACGCTCTCGAGCCTGAAAGGCTGCCGCGGGGGTGTCTTCCAGGGGACGGCTACTACCTGGCTATCGGCGGGGCCGTGGCTCAGCACAACTGGTCGCACATCACCACTGTGCTGCAGGACATGAAGCTCCAGTGCGAACTCCTCGACTGCTCGGAGGAGCTGGGCATGATGAGCATCCAGGGCCCCCTGAGGTGAGTGTGGGGAGAGCGTCACAGCCCCCTCCTTGCACCCTGACCATGGAGGGATGGAGGGAGGGATGCAGGGCTGGAGGCAGGGATGCCTCAGACGCAGGCCAGGTCCCTGTGTCGGGTAGGGTTAAGTGTGAGCCCCATGGCAACAGGCAATGGTCTGGCTGGAGCGACACTCCATTTGCTGGGGAACTGGCATTTCTTTCGAGGCTCTCACAGCATGGCATATCACCCACGTCAGCTCCCCTTTCGAGGGAGAAGTCTGCCTTGCCAACAAGACGAGAAAGCAAGTTTTCGCAATAACCCTTAGAGCAGGCTGGCGAGCTACGTCCTTTCACCGCGGCCGCTTTGCTGTTTCCCCACAGCCGTGTCGTCCTCCAAGAAGTGCTCGACACCGACCTCAGCAACGAGGCCTTCCCCTTCTCCACCCACAAACTGGCCGTGGCCGCAGGATGCACGGTAGGACGGGGCCGGCCCTCCAGCTCCCCAGGGATGTCTGTTCGCTGGGGTGACCGCCCGCCAGCCTGCGCAGCCGAGCATCCTCTGCTAGACAACCCCTCTGCCTCCACATTGCTGCAGCGGGCAGCTGGGAGGTTTTGTTGGGATTTTTGGTTGGAAAAGGCCAAAAACTGGGGTGTTTTCCTCCCCGTTTGCTTGCCAGGTGCCGGCCTGCTCTCCCAGCCTGCCCAGCAGCGTTGTAGCCTGGGCTGAGCTTGGGGAAGGGACATGGTGACTTATGGCTTTGCAGCGCTGTCGGAGGAACAAGTGACACCTCCCACGGATTAGGGGCGAGCGCTGGTGATGAAGAGATTTATTTGACACTCTAGATCCCCTTCTTTTCCCCCTACTCATAAAAAAAATAGGGATGATTTAATGTAAAGCATGTCAAGTACTGGTGGTAAGGGCTGGGCAGCCTGCGGAGCCGGTGTATTTGATCACAGGAGAAGTCTGACAACCTTAAGCTTTCTGTACAAGTGCAGATCATCCTGCATTTGCCCAGGCTTCAAGGTTCACGTCAGCAGTTATGCAAGAAAAGCGCAGAAATGGTAATGCTCCGCGCTAACGCCTCGGGCTGAGCCCCTCGGTGTCAGAGAGAGGGGACGAGAAGCCCTTTGGGGTGATGGTGGGAACCAGCACCTCTGCCCGGCTTGGGTGCCTGGTGGGGAGTCATGGGTGGGGGGTGCTGGCCGGCTCCTGCCCCCCAAACCCATCGCCTGGGGAGGCAGTGCCGGCGCGGTGTTTTGCAGACAGAGGTGAGCTCGCCTTGCCTGCGCTGCCTGCCTGCAGCGCTGCCTGCAGAGCACAGGGCAGGCACATGCATGCCGTCCTGAGTGCCACAGTCCTCAGCAAGCCACGGGAGATGCACCTTGCCCAGGCTGGCAGCCCGGCGTCTCTGCCGGCACCCGCAGCGATGGGTTTCACACATTGTGTAGCATCACTCGGAGGTGTCGAGGGAGGAAGGCTTGTGTTGCAAAGAGGTGGATCAGTCCCTGGGGTTTGCGGTGAGGTTTTGCAGCGCTGTCTGCTTGGTTGGACTCCTCCGTCTCGCCTGGCGTGGGGCAGCGAGAAAAACACCTTAAATCTCTCCCCCGCCGCACCCGGTGAAGATCGCATGGTCTGAAGTTATCCCCAGGAAAAGGGGGCGATGGCAGTTCTTTGGGGAGTTTTGTCATGTGTGAAGCTGTGATTTAGCCTGCTTGAAACACCCTAAATAGCAGAGTTGGTGACCATGAAGTGTCATTTTGTCAAAAGCAAAACGTTCTGGGGAAACATGAGACTGGCAAATTTTGGTATTGGGGAAAAAAACTTTCGCAAGGTTTGCCCAAGGAGCTCTGTCTTGGTTTTCTATTTATGTTTACCTCGCATGAAATATTCCTTTTTATGTTCCAGTGCAAAACCACCCCTTTGGAAGATGGGGTCGAGTTTGTACCCCAGCCTTCCCATGGGAAATCTGGGCAGGCAGTGGTCCCAGGGCATCCCTTTCCCGCCCGGAGGAGATGGAGGAGGGACCGTGCCGAGCCTTCGCTCTGGCTCTCAGGCAGGTGGGAGATGAAGGGGGTGCAGCAGTAAATCTTGCAAAAGGCAGCAGGAAAACAGGGCGCTGGAGGCAGGATGGGTATTAGTGAAATTAGGTTAAGCCGCATGTGGACACTTTTCATTCGGAATTAAAGTGGCTTTAATTCGAATGCAGCTGGCTGCTGAAGGGATTGCTGCTAAATCAAATTAAGGCTTCTTGATTTGTGAGCGAGAGCCTAGCCAGGGTTTAGGGTGGTTTAACTAACCCACAGATTTTGCCTGACTCAGATTTAATCCTCCAAACTGTCACCATCAGTGCTCCCTGTGCTCTGGGTACCGAAAACCCACAGTGTGTCCAGTGTCCCCTGGGGGGGACAGTGGCATGGGGGACCTGAAGGCCAATCCGTTGTTGCAGATTGTCCAGCACGTTGCATTTTAGTCTCCACTGGTGAATTATAACCCTCCCCACACCCTCCCCTGTCATGCCTGTGGCAAGCTGATAACATCTCATAATAATTTACTCATCCCCTGGGAAAGGTGTATAAATGTTCCGTCTTCAAGAGCGTGATTAGTTTATTTGCATTTCCTTTCAAGTTTACAAAAAATAATCTGGTCCTGGGTGGAAGAAATAGCCGGTAGAAATTTTGTGGCTTCTTTTGGGTGTAAATGCCCTGACTGTAGGAAAAAAGCTTTCCTGCCCAAGGGCTCTGGGCTGGGGGGGCTCGCTGCCTGCTGCCAGGGCCACCCGTCGGGAGGTCTCCACCAGGCCCCCGCCACACAATGAGCGCAGGGGACGCCATCCCACGCCGAAATTAGAGTAGGAGGGTTTCTGAGGACAGCGGGCTGAAGCCTTTGCTGATACTATCGCCTTCCAGGGGGATTAAACTGAACCCAACATCTTTAAAAAGTTATCACTGAGATTTTCATGCATTAACTCAGTAGTTGAACAAAATCAGCTGGAGTGAAAGGAGAGCTCCAGCAGAGTTAATGACTCTGGAAATTACCAATTGGTTTGCAAGTTTATATATAGCGTCTCTCATTGTATTGAACAGCAGAGAAAGGTCCCCCTTTGAATTTCACTGCTGGATAGGGGGTGAAGTTTAGGTTTTCATTTTCTAGAATACTTAAAATGCTTTTGAATTGCTGCTGAAAGACCCAGGAATTGATGCTATTTCATAACTCCTGTTGAAATCTAACAGAAAAACCTGGTTTTAGGGGAATTCAGCAGAAAGCCGGCAGGAGCGGCTGAGCCCAGCCCTTGACGTCCCCCTTGGCCTCCGTGGTGGGATGCGCACCCCTGCCTGGGGTATGCACGCCTGGGTGCAACCCCCAGCCCCTGCCTGTGCAAAGTTAAGGACCGGCACCCCAGTTTTCCTGAGGATACCTGTTTTCTATGGTGCACTGCTCTGCCTTTACTGCTCTTGCCGGGATGCTCGCCCCCCCCGGAGCAACAGTGGTTGGAGGGAAAGTTTCTCCTGGGAGTAACTTGCTCCTGAAAGTAAAGTGCCTTTAGCTGTGGCACTGACTGCTGAGTCGCAGGCAGGGTTAATGAGCCGGGAAGTTGCCTGTCAATCCCCAGAGCATCTCCTGCCGCGTTGAAGATGGTAGCTGGCTGCAGCGGCTTGATCTCTGGCTGTTCCCTAATTAGATGACACTTTTGTGTGGAATGAAAAATCTTCTCACCCGCCTTGTGTCTGTGCACCTTGAAAGGTGATTGCCAGCCTTTGTGCTTCGCTGCGGGGCTGTGGCGGGGACCGAAGGAAGGATCGCTCCCTGGCACGTCTTCTTGTGAGGAGGCTCAAAATAAATTCCCAATACCTATGGCGTTCCTTCCTCCTCTCCACTTCTACTGTAAAGGTTAAGGCGTCTTAAAAGAGGCCTTAAACTCTGCTTGAGGACATTATTTTTGCCGTGCCGGTAGAGCACAGGGGTGCTGGGGGAAGCAAGGATGGATTTGGGTTCTCAGCCATTGCCTGCTGGCTGTCCTCGCAGCGGAGAGCCCGGGCACCCCTTTGGTACTTGTGCCTGTTGTTGCCTGTTTTGGGCAGCGGCTGCTGTTGTCTGTTGTTGTTCATACCCAGGATTAGAGAGCACAGCTGAGGCCAGCTCCTGGTTGTAGTAAGAGCTCAGCAAACGGCAAGAGGCAGTTTCTGTCCGAACAACATCCAGAGTCAGCACAGGCAAGACAGTCCCAAAGCTGCTGAGCGTGCCTGGCCAACAGAACCAGCCTGGAAGTCTCTTCCTAGCTGAAAACTGCTTTATTAAGACTGCAGATCACAATCTGGCATGAAACTCTTGAGTTAATCTCTCTCCCAAAGCGATGTGTGCATTTGCGGTTGATGTGGATCCGAAGGGATGAACCAGAGTGGTTTTTGTGGGGGAGGAAGCAGAGAAATCCAAAGGGATGAAGCAGAGGGAAATGCAGCTCAGACTCAAGGGATATCTACAGGGAAGGTGCACGAGCTGGGCTGGCCCCAGCTGGCCTGAAAAGCTTTGGGAATGCAGACTGTTTCAGTAGGGATAACAGGAGGATGCAGGCAAGCCTGCCTGGGTGAGAAGCGAGGGGGACATGGGCAGGGCAGTCCCAGCACAGCCGGGAGGTCTGTGCCCCCGGGAGTGCAGGCAGGCAGGGGTGTCTCCGAGGATGAGGCTTCCCTGGAGAAGCACCGAGTCCCCTGTGCTGATCTGCTCCTTCCTCTTTGGAGCTTCATGCATTCGGCGTGGAGCTAATTTGGCGGCAGGGAGTAACGCTTTGGGGCGCAATCTCCGTTGCGGGAAACAAGAGCATCCCTCTGGGGTGAGTGGGGCGCGGGTCGGGACACTGGGCTCAGCTCCTGCCCGGGACCGTAGGGCCTTTGGGTGCCTCTGCTGTGGGAGCACCATCCCAAGTGGGGGACATCCCCGGGGTCAGCAGCCATCAAGTGCCCCAAAGCAGGGCAGGCCTGCTGGGGACTGGCTTCCCCATCCGATGTGCTGATTTGGGGACACTCAGGACTGGGGGTGCCTGTGGGCTTTCTTCTGGCGTTGATGGATCAGCAGAGGGAGACAAAAGCCTGGCTGGAGCTGGAGCATCACGTCTAACCCCAGCTGGGCTGGTGTGACAGCCCTGGCGTTGGTGGCCGGAGGATGCTGAACGCAGCCCCTCTGCCCGCCAGCCATCCTGGGGGCTGACGATAGCTGGGTTTGAGATGCCAAGCGTAGGCTGTCCAGAGACAAGGAATTCAGTTTGACCCTGGCTTCGTGCACTAGGGAGAGCAAAGAAATGCCTTCCATCAAAGCAGGGCATTTGGTAGGTTCCTGGGCAAGCCGGCTTTCCCCGCACCATGGCAGCATGTGGCTCCGTAGCCTCTCCCACGCCGCACAGCCTGGCTCCATCCGCAGGGGCGTTTGAATTCTTGCATTTTGCAGGTCCGTGCCATGAGGCTGTCGTTTGTCGGCGAGATGGGCTGGGAGCTGCACGTGCCCAAGGCGGACTGCGTGAAGGTTTACCAGGCCGTGATGGAGGCAGGTGCCCGGCATGGCATTACCAATGCTGGCTACAGAGCCATCGACAGCCTCAGCATCGAGAAAGGTTTCTTGCTTTCCATGCTTTCCTGCACTGCTTCCAGCAGCGCTTGTTGCTTTGCCTCTGGCCAGGGGACCAGGGCAAATGAGTTTTTCCCAGCTTCGAGGGTGGGTTACTGTGACTGGAGGTCTGGCAGCTACTGGCATTGATGCTACCAGCCTCAGCACTTCTTGCTGAGACTTTCCCAATAGGGGCTTCTCTCGAGGGTGCTTTGTCCAGAGCCAAGTGAATCAAGGGCAACGGGGGTGCCCAAGAGGCAGGGGTGATGTCTTAGTCTCCTGATGCTGCTCACCCTGGGCTTGCTGCAGTGGCAGGGAGAGGCTGGGCGACCCATGCTTGCTCTCTGCAGGGTACAGGCACTGGCACGCAGACCTGCGCCCTGACGATACCCCGTTAGAAGCAGGCTTAGCCTTCACCTGCAAGCTCAAGTCTGGCATCCCCTTCCTGGGCCGGGAGGCTGTGGAGGCTCAAAAAGCCAAGGGCGTCTTCCGCCGCCTCGTCTGCTTCACCACCGAGGAGTGAGTACCACCGCCCTGGGACGAGCACCTTCAGCCATCCCCATCCACCCCTGCACCCGGGCACACGCATGGAGCTCAGTTGCAGGCCAGCTCGGCTGTTTTCCATGCTCTAATTCCATCTCTAATTTAAATCCCGCTGCAAATTCCCTGCTGGATGTTTAATGGGAGCTGGAAATGGTGTGACAGGGAGTGGGTTTATCTTGTTTCACCCAGAACAGCGGGAGGTTTTGCAAATCGGGCTAGAGGGGTTTTGCCAGCGCCTGGGATCAGCACGGGGAGGACAATGAACCTGTGGGCAGCGGGAACCCCAGCACGTGGGTTGGCCCGGGGCAGAGCTGGGGTCTGGTCCCCCCGAGCCCCTCTCCCCCATGGGTTCCCAATGTGGGGCTTTGCTCAGAGCAGCTCTGCCTTCGCCTTGCAGGAAGGTGCCAATGTTTGGCCTGGAGGCGGTCTGGCGGGATGGCGAGGTGGTCGGCCACATCCGTCGGGCAGACTTCGGATTTGCCATCGATAAAACCATTGCCTACGGCTACATCCGTGACCCCACGGGGGGCCCGGTGAGTATAGACCCCCTGCCGCCGCCAGCCCTGGGGACGGCTGCGCCTCCTTCCCTGCAGCAGGGGCTTCCTGGGGGGGAGCGTAGCGCTTGTTTGGTTTTGAAGCCGTATGCATAAACCCGTTGCAAATCCTCTGTCATCTGGGGAGCGAGACGGGGCAGCCCCCCTCGTGCTTCCCCGCAGGAGGCTGGAGGGTGAGGGATGCCACGGCTTGGCGGCAAGGTCGATCTCACCGGCTGTTGCTCTGCGTGGTCCCAGCAATGCTCTCTGGCTCAAGCGCTGCCTCAGATCTTATTTGCAACCGAGTATTTAATTGCAGCAGTGAATTAACTCATGTTATAGAGAGCAATGGCCAATAGGAGCACAGCAGGCTCTTAATTAACCCTGGGAGACTCCTGGATAGTAAATCAGGTGCTCTCATTAAGCAGCGCGCTGTACGGAGAGGCCAGGGAACCCGTGTGGGGACAGAGGGCTGTGGATGACGTCCCCAGGGACCCTCCCTGTTGCAAAGCAAGAGCAGTGCATATGCTCGTGCTTCCGTCCTCTTGCTTGCCTTGACTTCTAATCCTGCATCAGTGCAAAACTCCCAAGTCAAGTGGTTTTGTGTTCCAGTTGCCCTGGGGACCACCTTTTCTCCCCATGCTGAATGTTCCCCACTAGACTCGCCTTTCTTTTCCCCCTTTCCCACTCTCTCTCTCTCCTCCCTGTTAAATCTCGCTCTCCTGGCTGCACCTGCCTGCCCCAGGCAGCATGATGGAGGCAGCAGGATGGAGGTGGCAGGGGGACGGTCCTCTCCTGCCTCCGACAAGGCACCGATGCAGCAGAACGGTGCTGAGTGCATCCCCGCCGGGTGCATCCATCGTGCCGCTCTCCCTGCTCGCACACCCGCTGCAGGGAAAGCTTTGCCGTGGCAGCATGCTGCGAGGCTGGCAGCAGGCAGCTGCCTGCTGGGCTTTGCAGGGCCCAAAATGGCAATGGTGGAGAGAGGCACCACATACTGGTCATGCTGTGGGGTCCCCAGCCCTGCCAGCTCCTTTGCATGGCCGCTCTGGCTGGCTGCAGCCAGGAAGCAGCGCTTGATAAGCAGATGTTAATGTGCAGCCCTCATCTCCCCGCTCCCTGGGATAACTCCCGCTTGGTTTGGGCAGTAATTGTGGAAGGAGGAGGGAGCTTTGCTGTGCAGGGAGGGGAGGTGGCTCGGGGGACCTGCACTGGCACCCTGCCCCATACCATCCCGTCAGGGGCTTGGTGCTGGACCCAGACCCCACACCAACCCCAAGCCCTTGGAGGAGGGCACACAGAGCCCCCCTCTTAGTAGGTCCCTGGCAGTGGGGTGCCCAGCACGGCTGCTCAGGGCCTTGCCGTGTTGCAAGTGGCCCTTTAGTTTCCTTCCCATGGATATGGCCCTTCAGCGACCGGGTGTGATGCTTCCCAGCTCTGGGAAGGGGGGTCCAGGATGGGGATGTCTCTGCAGTATCGGGGCTAGAGAGTCAGAGGAGCAGAAGTAGTACAGAGGGTGAGGCGGACAGGAGAGAAACAAAAATTCTGTTTGTCACTGTATCACTGACAATTTCCAGGTGATAAAAACACACTGGCCTCGAGAGCCCCCAGCCCTTCCCTGCGCCGGGGTGTCTCAGCCACCGGCACTGCCTGGCACTGGGTGAGCCCCGTGGCTCACGCTCATCACGCCAAGCGGTGACGTCCTGGCTGCCACCGTGGTCCCCTCCTGCAGCCAGGGCTGACCCCGTTCGGGTGTGCCATCCCCCCACCCAGCCTGGTTGCTCTGGACCCTCTAGCGATGAGCTCACACAGCACCTTGCACTGGGTGCCGTTGAAAAAATCCACAGGGGAAAAAAAAAAAACAACCTCCAAAAAAATTAAATACTGCATTCTTTTTATTTTTTTTAGCCGAGTGCTTTAAAAAATCTCTTTTCCTCCTCTCCGTGCATCCTCCTGGGATGGCAGAGCCGGCTTTTCTGTGGAAAGCAGATCTGCGGGGTGGTGTGGGAGCCTGCCCAGTGATGGAGCTGGGCTGCTGGCAGGGGCTGGTGCCCCAGCGGGGCCTCGCAGCCCCTACCGGGGGTTTCGCCATGGCTCTGCCTTGCAGGTCTCGCTGGATTTCGTGAAGAGCGGCAGCTACCAGCTGGAGCGGATGGGAGTGACCTACCCTGCCCGAGCACACACCAAGTCCCCGTTCGACCCGGACAACAAGCGAGTGAAGGGCTTTTACTGAGAGCGCGACAGCGCCGGGGTGGCGAGCGGATGCTGCGGATGCTGGGATGGGGAGAGGGAAGATGCCTTTAGGAGCCGCTAGCTGAATTCCCGGCTCCTGGGTGCCCCAGCTGGCTCCAGGATCTGCTGGGAGAGCTGAGCAAACGTCTGCAGTGAACTCATCAAGCAAATTTGGGTCAAATTAGAGGGGAAGAGGAGGAAGAGATTCCAAAAAGTACAAAGATTTTGTTGCTCTGTTTTCTAAATGAAGCAGTACCACTACAGCAACAATTCTTTTCCATAGGTTAATTGGCCTGAAAACAGTGTTTTGCTTGACTGCAAATGAAGTGGTTTCAATTTTTGACTTTGCTGGAATCCCTTTCCCCACAATGTAGTTTCATGCTGCCTGGAAATGAATTTTTTAAACTAACTCTGCTGTTAATACTGCTATAGCCTCCAAACCTGCTGTCTCTCTGGTCCCTTGCTGCATCTGTCCCTGCTCTGATGGGTGTCACCTTGTCCTGGCTGTGCTGTGGGACCCAGTGCTGGGGTGGGAGCGCTCGTGGGGCCATGGAGGGCAGCGGCAGGGGCCGAGGGCCGATGCCCAAGCTCACACCGTGAATGCTCTGCCCACTGCAGGGTTCTTCTGCACCATGAAATCATTGGCTTTACCCAGAGGGTTTCCAGGCATGTTCTTCCCATCTCTGCAGGCACAGGTTCATCCTTCCATCCCGTCTTGCCCTGGTTACAGCCAGAGCTTCAGGTCCCGCTTTGGCAAAATGCTTCCTTGTGGCTCCAAAGTTCAGAGGGAGCTTAAGCACCAACATCCATTGCCTTCAGCGGTAATTGGCACCTGAGGCCCTTTAAAAAATCAACACTGGGGTGCAAAATGTTCGGTGCCTGCTTCGATTTTGTACGTGGTGCTCAGTGTGCGATGGCTGTGTGGAAGGCGGGGAGGGTCGATCCTCCCCAGACCTGAATGATGACCTTGTCCTGGCAAGTCCCAGGTTTTGGCCGTGGCAATGGGAGCGTGTTGGTGCCCAGGGAGCGCTGCCATCCTGCGCCAGCCCCTGGGTTTGAAACGAGGAACACATGGTGGTGCCGTGCGGCCCCTTGGTGCTTAACCGGGGAGAGATTCTCCTGTTGTGCCCCAGAGAATAAAAGAAACTCCCGAAGGCAAGTGCTGTTGGAATCCAGGTCCTTGATGCGTGTGTGGGTGTAGCCTCTGAATTTGGAGGAGAAAGAGAGTTTGATGAGTGTGTTTTGGCCCACAGCTGCTTTGCCAGTACAGTTTGTGTTTGTGTGTCCTCTGGGCTGCTCCCGGTATGGGCAGGACCAGCTCAGTGCTGTGGCGTAAGCTCACTGACTGGGACACCGACACCAGGGCTGCCCTTGGCCCCCGGCGGCTCCACGGTCCCGTCTGCTCTGCTGGCATCTTCTAAAGGTCACCTTGGAGGTGGCTCCTTTCAGCTCCCGATGGAGAGGGGGCTGCACGCAGAGGCTGAGCTGCCTGCTGCCAGCCCCGCAGCTTCCGGCAGCACAGCACTGGTCTCAGAGGCGTCAGGGAAGGTTTTTCATCGCATGCACGCAGCCTGTGAACCCCCCGCTGCTAAAGGGAAGGGACAACTGCTCCCAGCCCATCCCCATAATCATCCCTTTCTCTGGTCCCCTCGTTGGACTCCGTCTTCAGCGGCGCAGCTGATCTCTGCTGAAGCTTTCACCTGCCCGAAGAAATAATCACACTGCATGCTTTTCACTTTATTTCCCTTGACTAGGTTTGCTTGGTTTATACCCTCTTTAGAGCTGATTTCAGTTCCTTGGCCTCGTGCAACAAGCGCCATGGGCAAGAATTTGAACTCTCAAATGCTTTGGTTTTACTGGAAACATTAAAAAACAAGACTGGGATGATTTTTTCTCTGAATAGGAGGTGATTGCACTCCCTGAGGCTGCCCAGGAGGAGGGCAGAGGAGGGGGTGGCCGCGGTCCTGTCCATTTGTCCTGGGGATAAATGAGGGACCACGCACGCTGCCTCCCCGCCAAGCCAGGGATCCGCTGCGTGCCTGTAAGGATAATGTTTTGCTTCAGAAAAAGCCTTTCTGATCTGCAGTGATCTGACCTGAGATTTTCCCTTAAAGCCGAGGTGGCGGGAGGGCAGGTTTCGGCTGCCGCCCTGCCCTGCATCCCAGGGCAGTGAGGGGCAGGCACCCAGCTGGGACGGACAGATGGACGGACGGATGGGCTCTCCTGCAGCACTGCTGGCCTTTCCTCTGCTCCTCCTGAGTATTTTAGTATTTTCCTTTTGGAGCTCAACAGCAAAAAGCAATTTTTTCCTTTTTTTTTTTTTCACGTTTAGGTATTTAATGGAGTCATTTTTCCTGACAAAAGGTTTGTCTTTCCCCCCCGTGTCCCTCCCCCCATCCCTCCCCCTTTCTGAACCCCAGCACAGAGGTATCATTTGTTCCCGGCCATTGGCATCTGGTGGCGTCAAGACGAATAATCCCCAGCGTGGGGGAGCGGGAGGAGGAGCGCGGCAGGGAGCTGCAGTCCCTGCAGCGGGGAGGCGAGTGCCGGGTGGGCGTCGCGGCATCCCTCCCTCCATCCGTCTCCACCACGGGTGTCGGCGTGGGAGAGCGCCCGCGGAGCCGCCCTGAGCTAGACGGGACCGTGGGGCACTGGGAAGGCTTCTACACTGCTCCCACGCAGGTCTTTGCTCTGTGCCTCAGTTTCCCTGCGGGAAAACAGGCTTCTTCCCCCCTCCCCGGGGCTGCGCTGGGTTCGACACAATAGCAAACCTCCACGTTATTATTCTGGGGGCGGAAAGCAGCATTACTCAGAGCCAGGATTGCTAATAACGCACTAAATATAGCGCTTTCCATCTCCAGAGTACTTTCTGAACTCTAGCTCGTAAGCCCTAACTGCCTCTGGAGGCAGGGGCCAGGGCACCGGCCGGCATTGCTGTGCGGGCAGGGATGCCAGGAGAGCGATGGGACGACGTTCCCTGTGGATGCTCCTGCCTGGAGGTGCTTTCCGTTGTGGTGGAGGGAGCGGACATTGGGTCAGTCCCTCCTGAGCTTGTCCAGGTTGAGGGGGACGGGGGCGGCAGGCCGAGGCCCCGGGGCGGGCGGGCAGCGAGGGACGGGCTCCCGCAGCCTCTCGGTGATGGTGGGAAGCGGCTGCTTCTCCCACTCGCCCTGCAAGAGAGATTGGCACCATGAGACCAAGTCAGGGTTTCGGGTGCTTGGAGACTCCGTGTTTCTCCCTGTTTGTAAAAACAAAATGATCTTTAATATTTGAAGTGTTTTTAGCCCAAACCATGATGTTTTCTTATGAGACATTACTAATTATTTGTATTGCAGAAGCACCTACACATCCCCTTACCGGCACAGACGTCTGCGGTGCACCACGTTGCACAAACCCGCCACAATTAGGGAGTTTCCGCCCCAAAAAGTGTTACGCACCAAATCCGATGGAGACAACTCAAACCAGGGAGTCCCACTGACCCACCGTGCTCTCAGCCCAGCCCTGAAAAACGCTCTCTACCAGGTATCGGCAGGAAGGTTGGTTGGAGGCAACATTTGCAGCATTCCAGCACAGATTTCATGTGCAGCTGCTGCGAAACGGGAGGGACGCAGCAGCCTGGATGAGGTGCTGCGGGGCAGAGCTGGGGAAGGGCTGTCACAGCCATCAGGGCTGAAGGTGACCGTGGCCAGGACAAAACCCCCAGCTCTCTGCATGCATGGGGGCACCTTGTCTTGGGGATGGCCCCTGCAAGGAGCAATCTGCTGGAGTCAAACCGTGCCGAGAGCTGAGCCCGCCGGGCAGGATCTCGCTCAGATGTGATATGTTGGTCCGGGTTAGTGGCCGGGTGAGCCATGGGCAGGGGCTGCGAGGGCGAAGGGGGACTCAGGCTGGGCTGAGCTCTGGTTCAGCGCTGCAACAGTCTGGCTGCCGGCTGCGCGCTCATGCGGAAACATCAGCAAGAGGCTGAGCTGCAGCGTGAGCAGGAGGAGGGAGGTCTGGAGAGGAGAGGTAGAGCCATGAGTCATCAGCGAGAAGATGAAAGTTGAATTTATGTTTTCAGATGAAATTTCTCGTAGTATGTCAAGCGAAATGGGCCGGAGCCTGCACCGGCACCAGGAAAACCCTGGGGAAAGGTGGAGGGGGATGGAGGGTCCCTCCCAAAGCACACGGGGAGCGACCGGGGAGGCGACAGCATTGCAGGGAAGCACCAGCTGGAGAAACAACTATTTTGCTGTATCCTTATGGCTTAAGAAAGCAGTTAAGCATGTTTAGGGTGCACCTGCTCCAGGGCCCAGACCCAGCTGCTGCAGCAGCCTGTCCTGCCAACATCTCCCAAACCTGTGCTAGCACCTCGCCAGCACCCTGCTTTTGGGGTAGATCAAAGGTCTTTGGAGTGTCTCGATAGTTGTTATTTTCAGTGCTTTTGAGTGGAGATCTGAATGTAGAGAGTATAGAGAGTTCACTGTGAGCCCTGGCAGGTGCAGGAGACTCGGGGACAGCGACATCCCCGCAGCCACTCACAAGCGTTACCTTGAGATTTTGCTCAATCCTTCCAGAAAGCTCATCAAGTTTGGGATTGCTGAACCACAAAAACACAAGCTTAATTAGAAGCTGGTGCTTTTCTCTTGGCGGAAACAGTGTGGAATAAATGAGATGTCTTAAAATCAGGCTCGCTCTGAAAACACCAGCAGAGCAGGAGGGGCAGCTCAGCTCCTTCGTCCTCGCTGTGATGCTCATGACCCACTTTGTGCCGGCATCGACTCTGCTCTGCTCGAGCCTGTTCCTGATTGCTCCCCAGACCCCTCTGAAATCTAGAGAGTTGCTTGGGCCGTAATGAAAAGGCTTAATTCATAATTCTGCTGCTGGACAAAACTTCTGTGCCACTTCTGTCCCTGCAGTGGAGCTCTGCATGGCTGAGAGGTGCCGGCTCTCCAGTTCCAGGGAACTGGAAAGGTTTCTGCCCCCTCCAGAGCAGACTTTGCTAAAGGGGTTTTACCGGGG